ACCACAGTTAAGAAGAAGCCACGAGTTTGTTAAAGGCTATGTATCATATTTGAATCATTACTGCTAACGCGAAGGCCTCTAATCGTTTGCGTGAGATGCCCACTTATTTTGATTAGATGATAAGTGCAAATTTGGAAAACAAAAAAACGTACGCTAAAATACAAACATGTTAACCCCCATCTCCCAAGCCGGATCTTCCCTAGATGTTCCGACAAACAACGAACGTGATTTAAAAACGTTAGGATCAATACTTAAATATTTGTTGGGCCTAGCGTGGCACCTTGAATCAGCCCACTGTTGACGCACGTTAAACAGACGCAACTCACAGCAAAAACCAGTCATCCTAAACATAGCTTAGTGGGTGAATTTGTGGTTAGAAGAATACTGGATGCCAATTCCCTGAGCTTAGTAATACCTCCTTTGAGAGGGTTTGTATGTGCGAAAACGCCTTTTGTTGGAGCGAGACCTGAACGTTTTGACCTCTTGGTCAATCGGGTCATTCTGTTGAGAAGAGTGTGGTGCTGGTTATGACAGAAATGGTTCGTTGACACTGTCCTAAAAGTTAGAGCGCAAATATGTCTCCAACACGTTAATAAAACAGAAGGTAAACTTTAAAACTATTTATTGTTAAATACTTAGTGCGTTATTTCTCAGAATGGCATATCATTAGACAACTACTAAAGCTGAGAGAATTTTTACGTATACCCCTGCAAACAAAAAGCCTTGTAATTCGCGTAAATTGAGAGATATCAAATTACGAAGCCTTATAAACTACTGCCATATCTAAGATATTCGACATGAACATAACTCAAAGCAATATACAAAATATTAAAATGTTATGGGCACAACATATCTGAAAACGGTAAAACCCTTGCTTGTACGATTCCTCGTTGCCTGGACTTGCTTGGTGCAAAGTCCTGTACGCATCCAAAGAGATATTGAAATGTTCCCCACGTGTGTACAACGCTGAAACACAAGCAAACAAACTAACAAACGTCTCTTAAGAAATGTAGAATTCGCAGGAGACTAACCCCGAACCAACAAACACTGCAATGTTCTGGTAAAAAAACCTGGTATGATACCGGTTTCAAGATACATCATTTTCTCAAAACCATTGATTGTTTCAGTTTAAACCACCTGAAAACATGCTTTAAAATATACTTTAAAATACAGTGATTTATTCGATGTGGATATTATAGTTGTGTTTTGATCATGAAGTTTGCAGGACTTCTACTGTTTTCAGCCCAGTAAGGTTTTGAGAATATATATATTTTTTAGGCTGTGAGATTTTAGTGTGTTTGGACGGCGGCAAGCTCAGTAACATGATGAAGTTTGCCATGTTTTAGTCCGGATTGTTTGGGAAGTGTGTACTCTCCTTTTCCCGGCAGGTTACTACAGCGCATTATGTGTATAACTGAGGGCTATTTGATCCATCACGTGGTATTTACACAGAAATCAGTAACAATATTTAACTTTCTAGAATCCTGTATTGAACAGAATGGCCTTGGATATTCCTGTGTGTCGATGTCTGCGTGACCCTGTCTCGTTATCAACTTGGACCCAGTTCCACAAAGCGATCTTAGCGCTAACTCATGGAGTGAGTGAGTGAGTTTAGTTTTACGCCGCACTCAGCGATATTCAAGCTATGTGGCGGCGGTTTTTAATCCAGTCGGGACCTGACAATCCAGTGAGCAATATCATGAGCATCAATCTACGCAACTAGGATACGATGACATGTGTCAACCAAGCCAGCGAGCTGTGACCATCCCATCCCGTTAGTCGCCTCTAAACCAAACCTGGGCGGGGATATTGCTGGAATGCTGTTAAAAGCGGGCTAAAACTAAACTCAATCACAAGATGATACTTCCTATTTGTCGTGGAGGTGGTGGTGGAATCGGGTTTAACGTCGTGCTTGAGAATATTTCGCTCATATGACGACGTGCATGCGTGTTATGTGTATGCGCGGCTAAAACTGTACTCAATCACAAGATGATACTTCCTTGTACCCATTCGTGCCGAGGTGGTGGTGGAATCGGGTTTAACGTCTTTTGGTGACGCGGTCGGGGATCGAACCCGCGACCTTCCTCACTCCGGGCGGACGCTCTAAACACTACACCACGGAGGCGGTCCAATATTTGTCGTGGAAATCATACAGGGCTAAAGACAAGCCCTTCCTACTTCTCAGCAGTTGGATATTTATTTGTTTTTTTAAAATATGGCATACTAAGTAAGCGGGCATTATTGTCTCACGTTAACCCAGATTATACAATATAAAAACGTTTGTATGAATGACCGAGTTATGACTTAATCGAATTTGAAAACACAATGTGTTCTCTTAATGCTTTCGAAACAAACAGTATTTTTGTGTTTGAAAATTGAGAAATTGTTTCAAGGCGAGAAGACAAATATTATTAACTTGAATGTGTAAAAAATGTAAATTTAAATATATTGTACAAGTTATAATACTGGTGTGTGGGGGGCTTGCTCAGTACAGATAAATATATTAATGTTTAAAAAATATATAATTCCGAGCATATCAGGTTAGTTGGCTGATTGGCTGGTTGGTTGATTGGAAGGTTGATTTGCAGTTTAACAACGCACTAAGCAATATTTCCAGCTATATGGCGGCGGTCTGAAATAATCGAGTATGGACCAGACAATCCAGTGATCAACAGCATGAGCACCAATCTACGCGATGGGGATACGATGACATGTGTCAACCCAATCAGCGAGCTTGACGACCCGATCCGTTAGTCATGGGTTACTGAAAATCAAGGATCTTCACGGGTGCCAGCAAGCCAATAATTGACAATCCCGATCACAATTAAAAACTGAAGGGGTGACAACCATTATTGGCATGCCTGTCTTTGTGTCACTGCTTCGGCCACAAATCAGTAATCGTACGTTCTTTCAATTCAACACGTACCAGGTTTTGACCAACCACATTATCTAAACAGCACGTGCACAGCAGCGTTGCACCCAAAATGTCAAGAGTCCCTTAGGTTTTGGGGAAAGGACTGGTCCCTATACGAGTACCAGCGTAGATCCGGGTCTTCAGTAACCCATGCTTGTCGTAAGAGGCGATCAGGTGGTCACACTCACTGACTTGGTTGACATCTCATCGTATCTCAATTGCGTAGATCGATGCTCATGATATTGATCACTGGATTCTCTGGTCCAGACTCGATTATTTGCAGGTCGCCGCCATATAGCTGTTTTATTGCTGAGTGAGACGTTTAACAAGAAACACACCAAACTCTATACGAATCGTAGTAGGGGTATTGGTCAGACTGGGTGCCTTGGTTCCCTGCGTGTCTTTGAGCCCCGCCGGCGTGTGCCGTTGTTCATAACATCAGCCATTGGTTTATATAGACCAGACTCGACTACTTACAAGCTGTACTATGTGTGTGATTGCCGCACAAGAGGCCGCGTATTGCGAAGCACACATGTTATACATGCATATGGTTAAGCAATTCTTGTTCTTCGTGCCAAGAATAATCTTTTGAAGCTGGAATATGTTGCGAAAAATACATGTACCATAGAAATTGAACGTGTTTGCAATGTTCAGCAAAACTTTGACCTGTACCTGATACTTATCAGGACTGACCTGATAATGACATAACTTCCTTGTTCGAATGTAAAGGTCAAGGTACGCGTGATATCGCGGCAAAATATTTGTCCACAAATAAGTACACGATACTGTATCAGATACCGTATGAAATAGCTGCAGTGTTCAGTGGCTGTGTTTATTGAGCTTGATTATCTGAATTATCTTGATTATCTGAATTATCTTGATTATCTGATTTATCTGAATTATCTGAATTATCTTGATTTATCTGTAATTATCTTAATTATCTTGATCATCTCAATTATCTGAATTATCTTAATTATCTTGATTATCTTGATTATCTGATTTGTATCTTATCTTGATCATCTGATTATCTTGATCATCTGAATTATCTTGATTATTTGATTTATCTGATCATCTCAATTATCTGATCTGATTATCTCAATTATCTTGAATTATCTTGATTATCATCTGAATTATCTTGATTATCTGATTTATCTTAATTATCTTGATTATCTATCTTAATTATCTTGAATTATCTGATTTATCTTCTTGATTATCTCAATTATCTGAATTATCTTGATTATCTGAATTATCTTAATTATCTTGGTTATCTTGATTATCTTGATCATCTGAATTATCTTGATCATCTCAATTATCTGAATTATCTTGATTATCTTAATTATCTTGGTTAACTTAATTATTTTTATTATCTTGGTTATTTGAATTATCTTTGTTATTTGAATTATCCTGGTTTTCTGAATTTTATTGATTATCAGTGAACATCAAAACATACAGAAACAAGCTAACCGTCTGCTATTTACCTTTGGTTTCTTTACAACAACAATTGTCTTTCCTGCTCTGGTAAATGTACCGTAGGAAACACGTGAGGGAACGCATGAGAGCACTAGTGGTTCTTTATTCTTTTCCGGGTTCCTTCGCGCTTTGTATTGCACTGTGGGTAAAATCTGGCAGCAGATTAAGGAACACTGCGATCAAGTGGTGTCCCCTTATTTGTTTCCTTCAGTATATTTGCATCTCTCTGTGTCGCTACGCTATTCAAAATACTGTTACTACATCGTGTTATTGCATTGTTTTATTGTGTACGGTTAGTGCATTGTGTTTTTGCATAGTTTTATTAAGTGGCGTGTACAGTTATCTATTCAGAGCCAAGACAGTTATCGCTGTTCTTTAAGGGCTTATTCCTTAGAATAGTGAGTGAGTGAATATTCCAGCAATATCACGGCGGGTAGGTTTCACCAAAGTGTTACATTTATATCACTCCAGGCTGAGTGAGTGAGTGAGTGAGTGAGTGAGTGAGTAAAAACGTAATTGTCTTCCATAATGATTGACTACCCCACCGCCCCTATTTATTTTTAGTAAAGTGTGGTGTGAAATAGGGTCTTTAATGAAACATTTTTTATAATTTCAGCATTGGTCACGTGTCAAACATGGAACCAGGCCACTCTCAACAGTTTCAGCCAGCATCTGATTATCAGCTGGAAGGTCAAGGACAACACCCAGAATGAACTCTCGACACAAGTCGAGGTGACCTTGACCAACGACGGGTCAAAACCGCTGACCAAAGAAGGCCAATGGGGATTATACTTCGACTGCATCTACATGATAGAACCAGAACACCTGCCACACCCAAATGGGTATGTTCTACCCGGTCAAGGAATCGTTGTCACCCATCTCACAGGTACCCATTTCAAGATGGAGCCAACGGAGGACTTCCTAGATCTACCCCATATGAAAAGTAGAAAGATCAAGTTCAAAATGCAGTACTGGTCAGTGGCCAAAACGGACATCATGCCTAACTGGTACATCATAGCGCCTCTTCTCGAACCAAAGGTGCTTCAGAGCACGGCTGGGAATTCGCTGGACTTTGTTGAAAGTTACGTAAACGTGGAACAGTTTAAGCGGTATGACTACGACGTGTATTCTCCTTACATCGCTCAAGTGAGGTACGCGAGGAACAGAGTTGAGGATATTTTTGAGGATGATGAAATCCGAATAGTGCCACGCCCCCATCTGATGAAGGTCGACAGAGAGGTCAACATGACGTTCGACACATCCACATGGAAGATACTCGCACCGGATACACTCCACGAAGAGGCTGCATACTTGAGAGGTACACCATGCTTCTTTTACATTTTATGATTTAGTGACCGGGGTATAGTTTCCTTGTAAGTCATTGCACTGGAAGTAGCATTTGAACCTTTTAAATATATTTTTTTTTAAAAATCATTTTTTAGTCCCAACATACCCAGCAAATATAACTTAATTTTAATTAATGAAACCTAAAATAAACTAGTTCTCAAAAGAAAGTATACAGTGTGTATACTTGAAAAAAATGAAAAGTATAGAATCTTATATTGCCAGTATTTCTAGTATCACTCAAACTCATATCGACCCGTGAATATCCGGTTTAGAATTGATCTTCAGCAACCCAGCTTGTCAGGCTGGTTGACTTGATTCACACGTCACCATATCATAAATGCGTAGATCATTGATCATGATGTCAGTCACTGAATTGTCTGGTCGAGACTTGAATATTTACAGACAGCCGTCATAATGCTGGAGTAGTGCTGATTGCAGCGTTAAACAACAAACAAATACTGATCAAACTGAAATACTGCACAAAGCAGCATCAAACCCAACTAACTCACTCACTATATAGCCCTGACGTTAAAACGTTCACTTGATACGCCGAAATTGCGAAATTCGTACCAACATTGGTATGTTTAAGCCCAAATCAGTTGTGTTCATAAAGATGTTAAGGGTTTCTGACAGGTAAATGGAAAGTGTGACTAACTTGGTCATCATCAGTATACCGGGTTTTATCCAAATGCCGCAGAACAGGGGCAGAATAACCTTGACCTTCTCTTTTCATGACAAATGTTTTGTACGCAAAGGATTCAAGATGACCGTTCAAGATAATGCTATAGATGTCCAGGTTGGATGGTCCAGAGCTTCCTGGTTGAGTGAAAATGATACCACAATCTCCAATGTAATACCCTGCAATTTCAGCTACAGTGCACTCTGTCTAATTCGGACCAGCTTTGGACCGACTAAAACGTTCGATTTATACAGTAGTCCGAAGTACACAGATTTTAATGGAGTTATCTCCCTTTGACGAACATACGATTGTGCTTGAAACACATGTTACATGAATGCGTATAAAGATGAAACACTGACAAAGTACATGTACATTTGTTTATTACATACTTGCATATAAAAGCTTCAGTTTGTGAAGAAATCAGTCATCAAAGACTGTGACTGACTTTTAAGTGATTGTTTTAGAATCAGGGTTTCTGTACTGGCTTCGAGTGTAGCCACAGGGTTCAACAGTTCAGGTGAGTTTTGCACCGTGGCAAAAAGTTTTATTTCCCTCAGCTCATAACTTTAGACTTATCCCCACCCATAAAGACCCGTGTTAGAATTGGACGAATGAATCCTGGGACATAGGATGTCAGGTGGATCAGTTAAAGTTCTAATCTGCTGATTGGTCGATATAGTATTTATTGGTTACATTGCTTCAGATATAGCACCAACTATGGCTAAGTATACACCCCCGCCACAGCCCACAATTGCCCTCATCCGATGTAATGTAATACCAAACAGTTTTAAACAGTTATTCATATTTCGTTTGTGTACTTTGTTCGCCCTGTTCAACAAAGAACTCTTTGCATTTTTCAAGTCGTCAAATTTGGTCACATCAGGTAACTTAGTAGATTGAAATAAACTTTCTTTCATAGATTTGTGACTTAAAAATACTTTTTAAAATCCTGTCTCACATGCCGGTCAGTGAAGTGGGCTAGTTTGATTTAACCATGTTGGTCAGTATTTCAGTTATATTTGGGTGTGTCAGCTAACTTATAATTACGTCAAGTGAGTGAGTGAGTTTACTTTTACGCCGCACTCAGCAATATTCAAGTTATATGGCGGCGGTCTGTAAATAATCGAGTCTGGACCAGACAATCCAGTGATCAACAGCATGAGCCTCGATCTGCGCAATTGAGAACAGATGACATGTGTGAACCAAGTCAGCGAGCCTGACCACCCGACCCCGTTAGTCGCCTCTTACGACAAGCACGGGTTACTAAAAATCAGTTCTAACCCCTGAACTTCACGGGTCACTTACGTCAAGTTGGTCTTGAAACCGTGAGCTAGCTCAGTTAGGGGTATTGTGCTGTCACAATGAAAACCTCAAGCATCAGGCGTGAATGTACAATGACATCTAGAAAATGGTTACATGGTTACATGTGACGTATGCTATGTTAGGGATTACATCTACGTAGTGAAGTACTTGAATGATGTACTTTGTTCGGCAAAAATAAACTGAATAAAGAACACTAGAGAAATGAGACAAGTTACTGTACTTCGTAAACCAAAACGTAGTGAGTGTGTGAGTGAAATTAATTTTACGCCGCTTTTAGCACTATTCCAGCAATATCACGGCCGGGGACAGTCACACCAGAAATGGGCTTCACACATTGTACCCATGTGGGGAATCGAACCCGGGTCTTCGGCGTGACGAGTGAACGACTTAACCACAAGGCTACCCTACCGCCCCTCAAAAGATAATAGATCATATAATATTTGTCACTTTATTCGGTCAGTTTTCGTGTGACTTCGGATGTAAATAGTGCGTGTTTTCCGAACACAATAGCGTTATCTATAACTATATTTTCTTCAATGTTCCAGAAAAAGCCAACATAGAGATCGGTGCTCCGACAGCTGAGTATGAGGTTATCCGTCTTCTTATCGAAGATGTCCAGATCACTGGTGACGTCATCGCTCATAGCCCGGATGCTTACAGCCTCGATGTGGACACAGCCAATCAGATCATCATTATCAAGGGCAACAGCCAATCGGGGGTCTTCTACGGCGTTCAAACGCTGCTGAATCTGATTGAAAACAATGGCGGCATCTTGTACGACACGTTCATCAAGGACGCTCCCCGGTTTGAGTATAGAGGCATGCATCTAGACGTCGCCAGAAACTTTCACTCCAAGGAAGACGTGATTAAACTCCTCGATCTCATGTCCATGTACAAACTAAACAAGTTCCATTTCCATCTCACCGACGATGAGGGGTGGAGACTGGAGATTCCGACACTTCCCGAGCTCACCCAGGTGAGTCCCGGTGAATCGCTTGAGGTGTTAGGAGTTACTGTGCAGAGTTACTTCCCTTAGACTCAAATAAGAAATGGCCAGATTGTCCATACTCAAACAATCCCCGGAACCACGCTCCAAGGCATATTCTTTAAATGATACATATTAAGCATAACTGATCTTAGAAGAAAATATATTATCTATCTATAAAGTATTATCTATCAAAATATCCAACGATAGCCTTTGTCTCGATTCTCACTTCCAGAAATGAAACTGTTATCCGTAACCTTTCTCTATTTGTAAAACATGCTGTTGTCTTGAAAAATGATAGGTTATCCAAGTAATTTCATAATTGACATTGTATTATGTATTATAGTTATGTATATGTATGTAACTCCTTGTATATGGGCCTGTGGCCTTGAGTACAATAAACTTGACTTGACATGACTTGACAGATCTCTATCAGCGCTTAGAATGGTGCCTTTAATACCAAGTTGGTTCGAATTCCTAGTTATGAGACTAGCGTTGTCGCTACCTTACCGATGCGTGTAGGATTAACCAAAGTGTTACATCTGTATCTCTCCAGGCTGACCTCCCTTTAGTGAGTGAGTGGGTCAGTGAGTGAGTGAGAACGTAATTATCTCCCGTAATGATTGATTGAGTTTTACGCCGCTTTTAGCAATATTTCAGCAATATCACGGCGGGGGACACCGGAAATGGGCTTCACACATTGTGTCCATGTGGGAAATCGAACCCGGGTCTTCGGCGTGACGAGCGAACGCTTTAACCACAAGGCTACCCCTCCGCCCCATCTCCCGTAATGGTATACAAATACCGTTTCCGTATGCCACATTCTTCCCTCGAATGTATAGGTGGTTGGGTGGCAAAGTTATCTAATGTCTCATTCTCTGTATAAAGTGAATGCTGTATGTTTGTAGCCTCGTGGGTGAAGTGTTCGCTCGTCACACCAAAGAACCGGGTTCGAATCTTTACATGTGTGAAGCCCAGATATGATGTCCCCGTATTTTATTTACTGAATTAATGCTTCAAGCTGCGTAAAAATGTACTCACTACCTCACTGTTGTTTTCAGCGGAGCAGTCTCCCGTTAAAGTTCTTTAGTGAAAAGATGTTATTTGTGACATGTAAATTAAGACTCTCAGTTCGAATACCAACTTCCTGTTTTATGTTTATTTCAGATCGGTGCCCGACGTTGCTACGACATGGATGAGACAAAATGTCTGCTCCCTCAGATCGGATCGGGGCCTACGTTTACTGCTCCCGGTTCTGGCTTTTACAACACGCGGGATTACCGCGATATATTGAAAGAAGCCAAACGCCGCCATATTGAAGTGATCCCCGAGTTCGACATGCCTGGCCACTCTAGAGCCGCGATCAAGGCAATGGAAATCCGGTATATAAAATACGCACGGACGAACATAGATGAAGCTTTAAAGTTTAAGCTGGTTGAAGAAAATGACCCCTCGAAATACCTCTCAACTCAGATGTTTTCGGATAATGCCATGAACCCCTGTCTAAACTCGACGTACGCTTTTATCGAACATGTGATGGATCAAGTCCTTATCCTTCATCAAGAGATACAGCCTTTAAGAATTTTTAACTTTGGCGGCGATGAAGTCGCAAAGGGAGCGTGGATCAACTCTACGTCGTGTCAGACGATGTCAAATACAATAAAAGTCTCAACATCGAAGCTGAAAGAGTATTTCTTTACGCGGGTCGCGGAACTAACTGCATCCAAGAATCTGAACCTTGCCGCTTGGGAGGATGGACTGATGCATGGCGGGAGCGCTGTATACGACCGTGACCTTGCTCCAAATTCTGACGTCTACGCCTATACGTGGGACAATGTGTGGGAGTGGGGGAGCGCAGGTCGGGCGTATAACCTGTCCAACCATCACTACAAGGTAAGGTTGCAGACTGTCTCACAGTCCCTGAACCACACTATTTTCTCTACTGCCTAGCCCTCCCTGCAATGCTTAAGCCCTAAATGAAGCAAGACTAGATTTCCCTGAATCTCCAAACTCACTGGGATTCCTCAATTTAAATGGGTATATTTGTTACCATCAATATTTTGTATTCAGGGACTAAGCAGTCCGTTCGTGAACACTCGTGTCTTTCCGGGTCAAGACGAATGGCGTCTCAGTTCTTTTATATATCGTTGTAGAAGATTATTGATTATTCAGGATAGGACACTTGGGCTTGAGTTCTTAAATTACTACACACGATACATTTGTTAACTTTGTCAGATTTTCACACGTACAGTTGACGGATGCCGGGACAAACTGACTTTCAGAACAATGCCATCGGAAGGAGTGATGAATGACGGGAACGTTGAAAACTTCAAATACGTTTTGTTACATATTAGGTTTAGGAAACGTTAAACTACATTGGCATGACGTGCTTAGTTTGCCATGCATGGACAATATGTTTAATAATGATAGAACCTTTGAATTGGGTACACATGCTTTTGGTGTCTACAAATATAGGACCGTCCATTCACGCTGCATTCTCAGCTCCCTGAGAAACATACAATATTGACTGGTCATAGAATTATAATTTATACCACAAAAAAACAATAATCCAAATTTACAGATTTAAACGTCTTGACAATAATATAGAAACGGCAAATTTCGTACCATATTCGTAAGTAATGTCTGCTGAAAGCAGAGTTGATTCTTGGAATCCGATGAAACCATAATCCCCCCCCGTCACAAACACATGCCTTCAGCGGAAAACACCTGCTTTTTGTCACCATTTGAAAATGTCCTCATTATCTGCACAATAAAACATTTAAAAAGCTCTACAGAAGCTTTGAATTTTGGTACAATAATAAAAACATTTGGGCACAATAATCGTAAGATGCCTTTTTCAATTTTTCAATTTCACTACAAATAGATGTTGACAAATTGTGCTGAAACCCTGAAGATAGATATCAGTGTGCGAAATTTACGCTAGTCCTGTGGTCCCTGGCTAGTAAAATGTCATCACGACCACTAAAGTTTGCAGTGGTCCTGTTGGCCAGTGAATTTTGTATTGATAGTTAAGAAAATCTGCGAATGTTATTTTGGACCAGTACAGACAGGACCGCTAATTATTGTCCACTCACTGGTCCTGTGGTCTAGTGGGAATTATGAAAGGTTTTTTTCCTTGAGATATGTCACAATATCACAACATTTAGTAAAATTAATTAAAATAAAATCAATTCTTTCTTGAGATTGAAAATTTCACACAAATTTCACACATGTTTCTTTTTACCGTGTTTTCATTGTATGTTGTTTAACGCCGCACTCAGCAATATTCCAGCTCTATGGGGGCGGTCTGTAAATATTTGAGTCTGGACAGAAAATCCAGTGATCGACATCATGAGCATCGACCAACTCAGAGAGACCTGAGAACCTGATCCCGTTAGACGCCTCTTACGACAAGCACAGGTTGCTGAAGACCAATTCTAAACTGCCCTGTCTGAATATCGATAAAGTCCTTGTATAATGTGATGGACCCAGAAATGTGTCTCTCTTTGTATGGATTTCTATGGAGCTTTACACGCGTGTTGTTGTAAACTTTAATCGATCGTAACTGTCCCGACCACCAACCACTCCGAACTCTCCAATCAGCTGATTGTATGAAAGTGTTGACGATATCGATAATTTTCTTAATCAGACACACCATGCATACACTTCCGCAAATTTACATTACCGAATACACAAACCCCCCAGCTAATATTTCGTGTCGGAGGTACAGCAAACGTCCCATGTAAGGAATGCAAGCATCAGGATTTGAAGAGCATGTCATTCCTCCGTTGTGTGCGGAGCTCTGCGAAATAAAGAAATCGAGTTTTAAACGATGTCGGAATATTACGAAATTCCCGAAAAAATAGTCGACCTGCCAAAGTGTAGAAACCGAATTTTAAAGCATTTTTTCATCTTTATCACGATATGTGTTTTTAAAATAAGTTTCAAAACAAGTTTACATTTACCGACTTTGGGCATTTGTTTGTGTTGGACTTTTTTCAATTTAAAAAGATAGTTTGTTTAGATTTCTTTTTTTGTCGCACTTTATAGACACTGTCGGAAATTTTAAGAGTTAATTACCGATAATAAATTAGGACACAGATTTTCTTAGAGATATCACTTTTGCTTAGAATTGAGAGTGAGAAAACTATTTTGAATAGTTGTTAAGCGAGTCCATGATTCCACCCGGTGTGTCATGGTGGAGGGTATGTTGACGCCATACATCTTCTGATGCTATCACTGACTGACTGAATTTGGTTTTACGCCGCTTTTAGCAATATTCCAGCAATATCACGGCGGGGGACACCAGAAATTGGCTTCACTCATTGTACCCATGTGGGGATTCGAACCCGGGACTTCGGCGTGACAAGCCAACGCTTTAACCACTAGGCTATCCCACCGCCCCATCTGATGCTATCACCGTGGTGTGGAATGTCTGATGCCTGACACATTCTGACCCCCTCCTCTAAACCCATGGCCGCCATATAGATGGAATATTGCTGAGTGCGGCGTAAAACTCACTCACTCACTCTAAAACCATGGTGAAAGTCGGGCTATGACTAGGATATGATTTCACTCACTTACCTAAGGTCAGTTTATACACCCGTTAAGATCCGTGTTCAGCCACCCATGCTTGTCGTACCCCGTGAACATTCGGGTTAGAACTGGCCTTCAGCAACATATGATTGTAGTGGTGGAATTGGTTGAAATCTCACAATTGATTATTGCTTCATTTCCAACGAACAATCATCGAAAAAAAATGGTTAGCGTCATTTTTCAGATTTTCCTATCCAGGTTGTTATTGCAGATATGTATAACATGATGCAACTTGCTACTTTAAAGTGATGTTGATATATCATGAACATAAACTTCCTGGAGTCTTCAAGAAACATTCAGTCATGACTTTTCAGTTAGTGAAGTGAGTTTTCTAAGAATTTAACAAGTTTTCAGGCCCCGACAACTTCGAAGATATGTTTCATCGTCAAGTGTTTCAAAGACTAAAACAGAAGTTCCAAATTCGTTTGAGAAAATGTGATCCATTGCTTGGTCGTTTGGTCACTTCGACCAATCTTCGATTATTTCAATCAAACGGAACACCACTAATGCTTACCTAAGATGCCACTAAACGAATCGGGTGTTTAGGCTCGCTGACTTGGTTGACAAATGTCGTAGTATCCCATTTGCTTAGATCGATGCTCATGACGTTGTTCACTGGATTGATCACGTCTCAAGTATTTATAGACCGCCGTCATATAATTGGACTATTGCTGAGTGAGCAGCAAACAGAGAAAAAAAACTTCATTATGCGTACATTTTTGGCTCTCGGGTTTTCAACATTTCACACTTTCTATCAATATTTCACACTTTCTATCAATAGTTCACACTTTCTATCAATATTTCACACTTTCTATCAATAGTTCACACTTTGCATCAATAGTTCACACTTTCTATCAATATTTCACACTTTGTATCAATAGTTCACACTTTGTATCAATATTTCACACTTTCTATCAATGGTTCACACTTTCTATCAATATTTCACACTTTCTATCAATATTTCACACTATATTTGACACTTTCTATCAATATTTCACACTTTCTATTAATAGTTCACACTTTCTATCAATAGTTCACACTTTGTATCAATAGTTCACACTTTCTATCAATATTTCACACTTTGTATCAATAGTTCACACTTTTTATCAATAGTTCACACTTTCTATCAATAGTTCACACTTTCTATCAATATTTCACACTTTGTATCAATAGTTCACACTTTCTATCAATATTTCACACTTTTTATCAATAGTTCACACTTTCTATCAACAGTTCACACTTTCTATCAATATTTCACACTTTGTATCAATAGTTCACACTTTCTATCAATATTTCACACTTTGTATCAATAGTTCACACTTTGTATCAATAGTTCACACTTTGTATCAATAGTTCACACTTTTTATCAATAGTTCACACTTTCTATCAATAGTTCACACTTTGTATCAATATTTCACACTTTCTATCAATAGTTCACACTTTGTATCAATATTTCACACTTTCTATCAATAGTTCACACTTTCTATCAATAGTTCACACTTTCTATCAATATTTCACACTTTGTATCAATATTTCACACTTTGTATCAATAGTTCACACTTTCTATCAATAGTTCACACTTTCTATCAATATTTCACACTTTCTATCAATAGTTCACACTTTCTATCAATATTTCACACTTTGTATCAATAGTTCACACTTTGTATCAATATTTCACACTTTGTATCAATAGTTCACACTTTGTATCAATATTTCACACTTTCTATCAATATTTCACACTTTGTATCAATAGTTCACACTTTGTATCAATAGTTCACACTTTTTATCAATAGTTCACACTTTGTATCAATAGTTCACACTTTCTATCAATATTTCACACTTTGTATCAATAGTTCACACTTTCTATCAATATTTCACACTTTGTATCAATAGTTCACACTTTGTATCAATAGTTCACACTTTGTATCAATAGTTCACACTTTGTATCAATATTTCACATTTTCTATCAATAGTTCACACTTTCTATCAATAGTTCACACTTTCTATCAATAGTTCACGCTTTGTATCAATAGTTCACACTTTCTATCAATATTTCACACTTTCTACTAATAGTTCACACTTTCTATCAATATTTCACACTTTCTATCAATAGTTCACACTTTCTATCAATAGTTCACACTTTGTATCAATAGTTCACACTTTGTATCAATATTTCACACTTTCTATCAATGGTTCACACTTTCTATCAATATTTCACACTTTCTATCAATATTTCACACTATATTTGACACTTTCTATCAATATTTCACACTTTCTATTAATAGTTCACACTTTCTATCAATAGTTCACACTTTGTATCAATAGTTCACACTTTGCATCAATAGTTCACACTTTCTATCAATATTTCACACTTTGTATCAATAGTTCACACTTTGTATCAATATTTCACACTTTCTATCAATGGTTCACACTTTCTATCAATATTTCACACTTTCTATCAATATTTCACACTATATTTGACACTTTCTATCAATATTTCACACTTTCTATTAATAGTTCACACTTTCTATCAATAGTTCACACTTTGTATCAATAGTTCACACTTTCTATCAATATTTCACACTTTGTATCAATAGTTCACACTTTTTATCAATAGTTCACACTTTTTATCAATAGTTCACACTTTCTATCAATATTTCACACTTTGTATCAATAGTTCACACTTTCTATCAATATTTCACACTTTGTATCAATAGTTCACACTTTGTATCAATAGTTCACACTTTGTATCAATAGTTCACACTTTTTATCAATAGTTCACACTTTCTATCAATAGTTCACACTTTGTATCAATATTTCACACTTTCTATCAATAGTTCACACTTTGTATCAATATTTCACACTTTCTATCAATAGTTCACACTTTCTATCAATAGTTCACACTTTCTATCAATATTTCACACTTTGTATCAATATTTCACACTTTGTATCAATAGTTCACACTTTCTATCAATAGTTCACACTTTCTATCAATATTTCACACTTTGTATCAATAGTTCACACTTTGTATCAATAGTTCACACTTTCTATCAATATTTCACACTTTGTATCAATAGTTCACACTTTGTATCAATATTTCACACTTTGTATCAATAGTTCACACTTTGTATCAATATTTCACACTTTCTATCAATATTTCACACTTTGTATCAATAGTTCACACTTTGTATCAATAGTTCACACTTTTTATCAATAGTTCACACTTTCTATCAATAGTTCACACTTTCTATCAATATTTCACACTTTGTATCAATAGTTCACACTTTCTATCAATATTTCACACTTTGTATCAATAGTTCACACTTTGTATCAATAGTTCACACTTTGTATCAATAGTTCACACTTTGTATCAATAGTTCACACTTTCTATCAATAGTTCACACTTTCTATCAATAGTTCACACTTTCTATCAATAGTTCACGCTTTGTATCAATAGTTCACACTTTCTATCAATATTTCACACTTTCTACTAATAGTTCACACTTTCTATCAATATTTCACACTTTCTATCAATAGTTCACACTTTCTATCAATAGTTCACACTTTGTATCAATAGTTCACACTTTCTATCAATAGTTCACACTTTCTATCAATATTTCACACTTTCTATCAATATTTCACACTATATTTGACACTTTCTATCAATATTTCACACTTTCAATTAATAGTTCACACTTTGTATCAATATTTCACACTTTGTATCAATATTTCACACTTTGTATCAATATTTCACACTTTCTATCAATATTTCACACTTTGTATCAATAGTTCACACTTTCTATCAATAGTTCACGCTTTCTAACAATAGTTCACAATTTGTATCAATAGTTCACACTTTCTATCAATATTTCACACTTTCTATCAATAGTTCACACTTTCTACTAATATTTCACACTTTCTATCAATAGTTCACACATTCGACTAATATTTCACACTTTCTATCAATAGTTCACACTTTCTATCAATGGTTCACAATTTCTATTAATAGTCCACACTTTCTATTAATAGTTCACACTTTCTATCAATAGTTCACTCTTTCTACCAATATTTCACACTTTCTATTAATAGTTCACACTTTCTATTAATAGTTCAAACATTCTATCAATATTTCAAACTTTCTATCAATAGTTCAAACTTTCTATCAATATTTCACAATTTCTATCAATATTTCACACTAAATTTGACACTTTCTATCAATATTTCACACTTTCTATCAATAGTTTACACTTTCTATCAATATCTCCACAGGTTGTCATGTCCCAAGCAACCCACCTGTACTTTGACCACCCGTATGAACCCGACCCAAAGGAGAAGGGGTATTACTGGGCTACCCGTTTCACAGATACACAGAAGACATTTGGATTTATGCCGGAAAATATTTACGAAAATATTGACACAGCACGCAGCGGTCAGCCCTTGACCAGAGAAAATGTCTGCGGTGATCATAGTCAGAATTGCCCCCCTTTGAAGAGTCGAGAAAACATTGCAGGTAGGTCAGCTCGAGAAGTCTCCTGTCACTCTGGAACAAGCCGAAAGATAGTAACGGAGAGTGACGAATGCAAGAAAGTCAACATTTGGAGTGAGTGAGCATGGTTTTACGCCGCTTTTACCAATATTCCAGCAATATCACGGCGTGGGACACCATAAATGGGTTTCACATATTGTACCCACGTGGGGGATCGAACCCGTAGCGAACGCTTTATATAACCACTAGGCTACCCCACCGCCCCCAATATTTGGAAGCGGAATGGGACATTGACGCTTTGATCATGAGCCTGTTTCTCGTGATGCAGCAAAGCGGTTATTGGCGACGAAAATATTTTTAAAATTTAGCCATCAAAATATGCAACGCCCGCCCTGAGATGATCAAATGAAACACTCACTAGATAGCCTGTTTAATTTCTTTAATAGAACGTTCAACCTTTGGGCTGAACTCTTTTTTTAAAGGGGGGTGGGGGCGGATGGGTAAACCAGTGTTAACCAGCTCGTCACACCGAGACCCTGGTTTTATTCCCCACATGGGTAGAATGTGTGATGCGTATTTCTCGTGTCATCCGCCATTATATTGCTGAATTATTGCAACAAGCGACGTAAAACCAAACTCACTCACTCTTTTTTAAAGGTCTAGAACCAGTGAGATAAAAAACAAGACAATTCCACCTGCCGAACCAATATACATGTACACTCAAGTCATAATTATTTTTCTTCCGATCGACCGACCAAATGTTTGAATAAAAATCAATGTGCAGTTCTGTTCGTATGCATTTCGCAGAAAAAGTCCCCTCCGAGCTGTTGGTTTGAAACCTGTCAACAGGTCAGTAATGCTTGGTCAGCAGTGTCTGACCTCTTCCTGACCCGTGAAGATCCGGGTTAGAATTGATCTTCAGTAACCCATGCTTGTTTCAAGAGGCGACTAACAGGATCGGGTAGTCAGGCTTGCTGACTTGGTTGACATATGTCATCGTATCCCCAATGGCGAAGATCGATGATCATGCTGTTAATCAGTGGATTGTCTGGTCCAGACTCGACTATTTACAGACCGCCGCCATATAGCTGGAATATTGCTGAGTGCGACGTAAAACTCAACTCACTAACTCCTCTTGAACTTGACACATTGTAAGGAAGATGTATCTTTAAACAAACAACCAAATGATGTAGGACCTAATTCTTTATCCCAAATATGGCCTATTCCATTGGAAAACGTCCATTCTAGCTAAAACATATGTTCTGACTAGTTTAACCAAATTGTTCCGACATCCAGGAATTCAAGGTCAGCTATGGAGCGAGACAGTCCGAACGTCTGAGGACATCGATTACCGACTCTTCCCCCGGATGTTGTCTCTGGCTGAGAGGGCGTGGCATAGGGCATCATGGGAAAAAATGTCCGACAAGGAAGCACGTGACCGGGATATGAAAGCTGATTGGGAGTCATTTGCTCGTGCCGTTGGTCGTCGAGAGCTGCACCGTCTAGACAGTCTCGGGGTGAAGTACAGAATTCCTCCACCGGGTGGCAGGTGGGTCGGTTACGTCAGCTTTCAGTTAGCTCCAAGGGTTGATTGGTTGGTTGGTGTTTAACGCCACACTCAGCAGCATTCCAGCTACATGGCTGCAGTCTGTAAATAATCGAGTCTGCGCCAGACAATCCAGTGATCAACAGCATGTCTATTTGCAATTAAAACGTTTGGTTAAAGAGGGTCTGGGTGAAATATATGCCTGTGCTCTTTATCGAGGTAAATACGGCAAATGCATCATGTAAACCAAAAACATTACAAATGGTATGTCCTTAAGTAACTGTGAAAATATTCTGGTTCCCTGTACACCCCTTTGTGTAATATCCAGAGACGAACTTGATTTCAAATAATTCGGTTATCATTTCAAGGGAGGCAACTTAGTACTGGTTGTTCGGGCAAGCGTGGCTTCTTTCACAATCGACCTGTTCCTCTTTTATACTGACACTATTCCTTCAGGTAACGGGTAAATCTAGACAAGCAGATCGATATATATTGATTTATAGCCAGTGTGTCATAGTCGTTGAACAAAGTAGTTTTACAATTAGGGATATCGTAAATTAATCGATTCACTTATCCAATGCATTAAATCTATTTGTTTTGAAAAATCCCCTCAAGAATAGTCCTATTCGAGTGAGTGAGTGCGTTATTTAAGTTTTACAACCCTAGTCTATTTCGAAACAGACAACACCCAGAATAGCAATTACATCATATTACACTCACAGGCGAGAGAGGGGCGGTGGGGTAGCCTAGTGGTTAAAGCGTTGGCTCGTCGCGCCGATGATCCGGGTTCGATTTTCCATGTGGGTACAATGTGTGAAACCCATTTCTGGCGTCCCCCGTCGTGATGTTGCTGGAATAATGCTAAAATTGTGGCGTAAAACCATTCTCACTCACTCACGGCCGAGAGAAAGTGTGAGCTGATCTGCGAAATGGCCCCAGAGTATTAACTTACAAGAACAACACTATAACACCCTGGCTTGTGGGCAGGGAGTTACCTATACTAATATTGAGGCTATTAATGACGTGGCTTCAAAGAGGTATATATCGGTTCTACCAGGTTCTGACGAAGACTGTTGACAGGTATGGATACTCTCGAGTCTGCATCGGACTCAAAACGTGGCTATCGTAGTTTTAATGGAATACAGATCTAATGCAATTCTGGGTTAGAATTGGTCTTCAGTAAACCATGCTTGTCGTAAGAGGCGACAAATAAGATTGGATGGTCAGGCTCACTGACTTGGTTGACACATGTTATCGTATCCCAATTCGTAGATCGATGCTCATGATATCGATCACTGCATCGTCTGGTCCAGACTCGATTATTTGCAGACCACCACCATACAACCAAACCAAACCAGATCTTATGCAGTGGTCATAAACCAGATCAAACCAGATCTTATCAAGGATAACTAGCGATTGGCCAGCGTGTTTTAAAGTTGAGTCACGTTAACCTTGACGTTAAATAGTAACTCACTCACTCACTTTAAAGTTGAGTGTTAACCTTGTCTTTGATAGGATCGAAGACGGCATACTGAAAACAACGTCCTCATTTCCTGGCCTCACGGTGCAGTACAGCCAAGATGGCGGACACACATGGTACTTGTCCACAGATGACGTCATCATCAGCAGCGCCGACCCTATCCTCTTGCGAACAAGGTGAGACCGTTAATTGCAGTCATTGGTATTTCAGTTAAAAGTTGCATAACGAAAAAAACAAAATGTGTATCTTAATCCCGAATATCCATATCCATGTATGAAATGAGTTTTAGTAATTGGGGGTGTCTGTGTACATTGTTTTCGATAATACTAATTCCTTTCATTGTATGTGCCTTTGTAACCTTTGAGCGAATGAACACTTCTCCATCTAGCGTCTGCTCGGAGAGCAAAAGCCTGGGGTTCGATCCCCAGACCAATCGTATCGATTAACGGTAATTGAATGGCGCTCGGCACTAGGAGGTACAAGTGAGTAAGTGAGTTTACGCCGCACTCAGCAATATTCCAGCTCTATGGCGGCGGTCTGTAAATAATCGAGTCTGGACCAGACAATCCAGTGATCAACAGCATGAGCATCGATCTACGTAGTTGGGAACCGATGACATGTGAAATACACAATGCCATTTTAGAAAGTGGTCAAATGTGGCATGTGTCAACAAAGTCAGCAAGCCTGACCACCCGATCCCGTTAGTCACCTCTTACGACAAGCATGGGTTACTGAAGACCAATTCTAACCCGGACCTGCACGGGTGCGATCGTGCCAGAAATACAAGACTACATTGCTGTTTGGGGAATAGTAAGATGTAGCGTGTTTCAATAAAACTTTCTGGTTTGCATTCAGATCTGCAGACCTGACAAGAAGTAGCCGGGTCGTCACTCTCCACCCAAGTAAGTGAGATCAATGTACACATGCTTGACAGATGATGGCTGCTCGTAATGTTACCACTGAATCTTCAAGCTAGGGAACAGCGGGTTAAGCCGGGTGTTAAAACATTTGCTCTTCCCGCCGATTGCACGGGTTCTTTCCCCGCATGGATACAATCCAAATTGTGAGGTCAATTTGATGTTCTCCACCGTGATACTGAACGAATAGTGCTAAATGCGTCGTAAAATCGTACTCACTCATTTCACGACGAATATATCTGTAGGGCATGAGTGAGTTGCGTTTTACGCCGGTTTTTAGCAATATTCCAGCAATATCACGGTGGGGGACACCAGAAATGGGCTTCACACATTGTACCCATGTCGGGAAACGAACCCGGGTCTTCAGCGTGACGAGCGCTTTAACGCTTTAACCACTAGGCTACCCCACCACTTTGAACAATATTCTCTTGTATAGATTTGTATCATTTAAATGTGCAAAGATCCGTGGGTCCGAATCCAAGTTTTGTCATGGACTTTTCCAAAGTGATGAACGATTTTCTCTTGTCTTTCTTCCTACATTACACGGGGCGGCGGGGTAGCCCAGTGGTTAAAGCGTTCGCTCGTCACGCCAAGGATCCGGGTTCGATTCCCCACATGGGTACAATGTGTGAAGTTCATTTCTGGTTTCCCCCGCCGTGATATTGCTGGAATATTGCTAAAAGCGGCTTAAAACCATACTCACTCACTCCTACATTACACGCAGTGATATAAAGCCAGATTTTAGGTTTCTGGAGTTTGAGTCCCAAACTTCAGGTGGACAGGTAAAATAATTTTTAAAACATTTGACAAAAAGGGCGGGAAAAGGGAAAGAAACAAGTTTAAATATGTTTCCAACAGGTGTTAATTTTAAGTTTTATTTGTTTGATTACTTTACATCGCACTTTTTGAGGTCAGCGTTTTTTCTAAACCCAGTTTTAAAAACGCCTGTCTTTGGTTATTATTTTCGGCTTCTTGGTAAGGTATAACTATTGGCATACGCTTTAGTGTGATAAGTATATTATACGTGGCAGGACTTGTGTAAATATTTATGATAAATTTGACAAATACACAATATCAGTGGATACCGTTTGTCATTATTGCAGAGTTTCAGACCGTTTCTGTTGTTTTCTCTTCTAACCGCTTCTGTTTAATCTCGTTAGATTGAACTTAAATCTCATTATTTACTCAATATATACTCCCCATCAAAAGTTTAGACTCACTAGTGTAAATGTAGCCACTTACTTCAGTCAACTGTTCTAAACTAGATTTTGCAAAATATTCTATACAGTTTAAGGGTACTGTTTACACATGAACTGATGTATTGTAAAACAAATTCGTAACGTTGAAATGTTAATGTCATGACTTCAATAAATGATGAAACTCAGTGAATATTGGCGAATTCTTAACAAAACATTACACCAAAACGCAGCTGTTCACATGCACGATATTTGCACATGCTTTTCAGCAAGTTGATACAAGATCCTCGTGCATTGCATCTGCATAAGGTTTGCAGTTGGTTCCCCCAAGTTAGCGGAGAAATTCATCTTCGATGTAACCACATGTATATACATAACATATAGTGAGTGTTTTAAGTGAGTCGTAGTATATATCTATTTCAACAAATTAAATCTCTTATATTTCACAGCACCGCCAGTGCCAGTCGTGAATCAACCAATCGTCGATAACATTGCCCGGAGCCTCGTTCTGAAATACGCCGTTCTCGATAACTTCAAAAATGGCGCCCGGTCCTTCATTGCCCAAATCTCGTTAACCAACAAAGGAGCTAACGAGATTCAAGCGGGAAACTGGGGCCTATATTTCTGCAGTATCTACAAGATAGAACCCGACTACCCGAACGGGTACGTGCTGGACGCTCTCAAAGTCAAATTCACCCACATAGATGGCTGTTTGTTTAAAATGGAATCCGTTCACGGGTTCGAGCCCATCGCGCCAGGTGAACAGCGGAAACTGAAGATCACCATCCAGAACTGGTCCGTGTCCCGTACCGACGTCATGCCGAACTGGTACATTTGGGCGGAGGGGATGAAACCTCGAATTATATCCTCCACCACCGGAGAAGGGTTAACGTTTGTGGCGCCTTTCGACAGTCCTAACAAATGGAAGCGGTACAATGCGGATACCATCAAGGATTACTACAACCCGTATACTCCAGCATCAAGATTCCGAAGAAATGAAAACGTCCATGACCTTGGGACGGCGCCTCTTCCCGTCATCCCCACACCGGTTTCCATAGAGACGGGAAAGAGTGGCACCGTTTCCTTGACAACTTGTTGCTGGGTTATCGTCAGCCATCCCATGTTCATGAACCAAGCCGATTACCTCAGACGTAAGTCTTCTGAAAAAAATTAAATCTCTTATTAAGCTGGCTGGCTGGCTGAATTTAGTTTTACGCCGCTTTTAACAATATTCCAGCAGTATCACGGCGGGGGTCACCAGAAATAAGCTTCACACATTGTACCCATGTGAGAAGTCGAACCCGGATCTTCGACGTGATGAGCGAACGCTTTAACTGCTAGGCTACCCCACCGCCACTTCTAATCAAAAGTTTGCTTGATTGGATGAAGGTATAAACGTAAAAACTTGCAACCATGAAGATCTGGGTTAGAACTGGTCTTCAACAACTCATGCTTGAAAGAGGCAACTAACGGGATAGGAGTTGGTTAGCTCGATGCTCCTGATGTCAATCACTGGGCTGACTTGATTATTTACTAGCCACCGTCATTTAGCAGGTGCGGCGGTAAACAGTAATCAACAGACAAAACAGATGTAACTTCTTTGAGAGGCATTTTTGAAGTTGTAAAGATGAAGGAAACCCAAGTTCTATAGATAGTATCCCGGGCTGTTTGAGAAGGGATAACTGTGTCTTCAAATACAGAAGTCCATCAGTGGGTCCACAAGACTTCATTCTGACTCAGTATGTATAACTAGATGGTGTTGTAACAGTGACTAGGCGACATTGGGGAGGTGATGGTCAGCCAACCTGCCTTGCCGCTGTCCGAGGGTCAAGTCCCGACTCACAATCTCCATTTATCCATGAGGGCAGTATCCTGATCAGGGGGCTAGATTTTCGAACTTCTCTTAGCGCTAAGATAGTCGTAAGTGCCATACATTAACATTAACTTACTATTATCTTAGCGCTAAGAGAGCTTCGAAAATCTAGACCCAGACTGTCACGTGTCGTATTTACAACAGATGTGTGGCCAGCCTGCAGTATCCCGCACCTCATCCACAATGTCATGCTTCAATAGCCAACCAGCCTTTGTCTAACTTTGATTAGGTAGCTAATGACTGGTGGTGGCCATGATGACAATGGTCAAGCTGCGTTAACAGCATGGTCATTACTTGGAGAGATGTTCAATTTACATAACTCAAGGAATTATATCATAAATATCCCTGATAAACCCTGTTCCCAAATGCCTCCTATAATAGTCAACGCTTGCTTGATAACGGTGTTAGTATCTACACTGGAGCGTCCATTTATTGCAATAAAGAAGTTGCCTATCCATAGAACGTGGTTTCCTTCAAAACAAATGTAAACGTGAAAGCCGACGTGTATGTTGGGTTTATACCACAAAGTTTATCGAAGTCAATTCATGTAATTAATTACATGTCAGCAATAATATTATTACTGAGAGCTTATTTCATTATCATCGTTAAACGAAACTAAGCAATATAAGCGTTCTATCACCAAAGAATTGAGAAACAGTCATGAAAAATACCATTCTCAAATTCAGTTGGTTTTACTTTGTGTCTTCAACAGAGAACATGATAGATTTTGGCATGGAAGAGCCGAAGATGGCGGATGAGAAACCCCCGAAACAGTATATCTTCATCAACTTTGCCGATGGCGGTGTCTCGGTCAAGGGCAACGTGTCTTCTTCCCCAGACGCTTATACATTAACTGTTGATCCTGAAACCGAATCCATGGAGGTCACGGCCGTAGCGACATCCGGGGCATTTTACGGCATTCAAACCATCCTCAGCCTCGCTTTGAAGCACAAAGTGAAAGGAACGATACCTGGAATGACTGTGGCGGACGAGCCTCGTTTTGGGTTTCGGGGCATGCATTTAGACGTTGCACGGAATTTCCATTCTCTTGATTCCGTTCTGACGCTTCTCGACGTCATGGCGATGTACAAGCTTAACAGGTTCCACCTTCATCTCACTGACGACGAGGGATGGAGGCTGGAGATACCTGGCCTCGAAGAACTCACTCAGGTTTGTTGATTGTTTTTTTTGTTTTTTGTATCATCGCACCTAGCAATATTCCACCAAAACTGGACAGGGCTTAGATATCTTGATATCCAGTGATTGACATTATGAGCACTTTGGTACGAGGACACGAACTCACTTAGGCTCACTACCGATACATTAAATCTCCCCTGAAGACATCCACAGCTCTGGTTCGATCCCCGACCACGTCATACCAAAAGAATATGTATGTAGTACATATGAAAATACACACACGCGCACGCACGCGCACACACACGCATATGTGACATGTTTAAAATGATTATATTTATTCTTCTGGTATAGACATATTTACATGAGTGAGTGAGTGTGTGAGTATGGTTTTACGCCGCTTTTAGCAATATTCCATAAATATCACGGCCGGGGACCCCAGAAATGGGCTTCACATATTGTACCCATGTGAGCAACATGATTACATGAAGTGATCTATACATTAGAATGGCATAACACAACCACATACTAATACTACTAATCCCTCAGCTCCCGATCTTGTCGCTCCTACTTTGATTGAAGCCACCTCCGTGGTGTAGTGGTTAGAGCATCGGCCAGGAGAGCGGAAGGGCGTGTGGTCGATCCCCGGCCGCGTCATACCAAAAGACGTTAAAATATGGTACTTGTTGGTCCCTGCCTGGCGCTCGGCATCAATGGGTACAACAAGGACTGGTCGGCTCGGAGTCAGTATAATGTGTCCGAGTGGGGTATTCATGCTTCACTGCGGCATAGTATCTCAGTGGGCTAGCACTATAAAACCAGCTTCAGTCTGGGCTAGTACAATCAGCCGCACATACACATACACACGCATGCACGTCGTCATATGAGCGAAATATTCTCAAACACGACGTAAAACCCAATTTCACCTCACCTCACCTCCACAGATCTCTAGGGACCTTTTCAAACTCACGTAGATGTATACCACTATCTGATGCCATTTACAGGGAAAATGTCAGCATCCACACCACAATATTACGTCCGTTCCTTAACATAGTTTGGGGTCGGTGGGGTAGCCCATTGGTTAAAGCGTTCGCTCGACACGCCGAAACCAGGACTCGATTCCTCACATGGGTACAATGTGTGGAGCCCATTTATAGTGTCCCATGCGGAGGTATTGCTGGAATATTGTTAAAAAACCGTATAAGACCCAACTCACTCATTTAGCATTGTTACAGTTTCATAATGACACAGTGTTTGCACAGTGGGGATAGACTTCAAATTAGGATTTGAAAATTTAGGAACCCTTTTCGTTCATAAATAAGAAAAACCATATACAACTTTATGTACTACTTTAACGCAACAAAGGATAAAAAATACAAGAGTTAAGTTAACATTCCTTGGCATATTTATGTATATTTAGCATTTATGTACATTATGTACATTATTATGTATCTTTCCAAAAAAACTACAAACACGAAGCTTGAATTACACATTGCAATTTAGAAAGTGGTCAAATGTAACATGTTATATTTTGGAAAACACTTTCTTAGTAAAGCACAGATTCTAGTACTTTTTGTTGGGTTGAGTCCCATCCAAGATTCGAACCCACGCCCTTAGAATCAGGCACCTAATCGCCAGCACACAAAGACAGCCGCCTTACCCTCTCAGCGGGTGTGGGTTCGAATCTGTACTTTACTAAGAAAGTGTAATCCCAAATATAACATAAGTTACGAAGCTTGAAGACAAATTTATAAATGAAATTTGATGTCCTTTTTGTAGGTTGGTGGCAGGCGATGCCACGATCTATCTCAGACCCAATGTCTTTCTCCCCAACTCGGGTCAGGTCCCTTCTCAAACAATTCTGGTTCCGGGTTCTACACCAAAACAGACTACCAGACAATCCTCGGCTACGCAGCCGAACGTCAGATCGAGGTCATACCGGAAGTCGACATGCCCGGACATGCGCATGCAGCTATCAGAGCAATGGAGGCAAGAAGACTGAATTTTTTAAGCGAGGGTGATTTTGAAAATGCAGATATGTACAACCTCCGCGATCCCTCAGACACTTCCAGATATTTCTCAACACAGATGTTTACCGACGATGCCATCAATCCCTGCATCAACTCAACCTACACATTCGCACTATATGTTATGAGGGAGATAGAAAAGATGCACAGAGATATCAATCCGCTGCGGACGTTTCACTTCGGCGGTGATGAGGTCGCTGTAGGAGCATGGGTTAATTCCACCGCGTGTAACAGATTAAAGCAGTTTTCTCCGAGGCTCAAGGAGTACATGGTCCAAAGGATGTCTCTCTTCACCTCTGACCTTGGCGTTAACCTTGGGTCGTGGGAGGATGGATTGACCGCCACCGGAAATAAACCCTTTGACCTGAGTTTGCTTATCAACAAGGCGGTGTACGCCAACGCTTGGGACAATGTTTGGGAGTGGGGCACGGCCCCACGAGCCCATATGTTTGCTAATTCAGGATACAAGGTAGGTAAAGTGCATCTCCGGTTGGCAATACAAGCACATACTCTAAATCTGTCATACACTACCGGGCAAAAAGAAATATATACCTATGTGTAACAGTGGGCGAAATAGTTTCCACATTTTGCTAGCCATTCGGGCTAGCTATGCCTAAAAGTTACTAGCCCACAAAATCATTCACTAGCCCGATATGTGAATGTAGACACGGGTTTCATCATTAATATATTTACAAAATCATTAATATATTTACAAAATGACCCCATGAAATTTCACTTTCACACTTTCTATCAATATTACACAATTTCTATCATTAGTTCACACTTTCTATCAATAGTATAGTTCACACTTTCTATCAATAGTTCACACTTTATATCTCACACTTTCCATCAATATTTCACACTTTCTATCAATATTTCACACTTTCTATCAATAGTTCACACTTTCTATCAATAGTTCACACTTTATATCTCACACTTTCTATCAATATTTCACACTTTCTATCAATATTTCACACTTTCTATCAATATTTCACACTTTCTATCAATAGTTCACACTTTCTATTGATATTTCACACTTTCTATCAATAGTTCACTCTTTCTATCAATATTTCACACTTTCTATCAATAGTTCACACTTTCTATCAATATTTCACACTTTCTATCAATATTTCACACTTTCTATCAATAGTTCACACTTTCTATCAATAGTTCACACTTTCTATCAATAGTTCACACTTTCTATCAAAGTTCACACTTTCTATCAATAGTTCACACTTTCTATCAATAGTTCACACTTTCTATCAATAGTTCACACTTTGTATCAATAGTTCACACTTTCTATCAATATTTCACACTTTCTATCAATAGTTCACACTTTCTATCAATAGTTCACACTTTCTATCAATAGTTCACACTCTCTATCAATATTTCACACTTTCTATCAATAGTTCACACTCTCTGATCTATCAATAGTTCACACTTTCTATCAATAGTTCACACTTTCTTTCTCACACTTTGTATCAATATTGCACACTTTGTATCAATAGTTCACACTTTCTATCAATAGTTCACACTTTCTATCAATATTTCACACTTTCTATGAATAGTTCACACTTTCTATCAATAGTTCACACTTTCTATCAATAGTTCACACTTTCTATCAATATCTCCACAGGTTGTCATGTCCCAAGCAACCCACCTGTATTTTGACCACCCGTACGAGCCAGACCCAGAAGAGAGAGGGTACTACTGGGCCACCCGATATACTGACACCATGAAGACATTTGGCTTCATGCCAGACAATCTCTACGCCAACATTGACGTCCAGAGAAGCGGCAAGCCCATCACAAGGGCAGATGTCTGTGGAAACCACGACGAGAAGTGTCCAGCGCTGAACGCTCCGGAAAATATTGTAGGTAGGTCATTTCAAGAATAATCACGCAAAGACTGATTATGAAAAGCCTATCTTCATAATTTGGTCGGGAAACACGAGGTGATGCAGTGCAACCTATTTCTGAGGATTGTCAAAACAGGGTATCTTTTGCACTGACGTTATCTTGCCTAACACATAAATGTCGTTTCTGATTGGCTGAGCGCTCTTCTATTATTTTAAATGTACCCCGCTTACAAGCGAGTAACATCTTCTATGTACCCCGCTGGGAATGCTGAACTCATTTGGTACTTCGTAGTAGTAATTTGTTATCTCGAATAACATTGAATCACGTATGATCTACGGAAATTACCGATGTTTTGCGAATGCAACTCGATGGAAGGGAGATAACTCTAAATTTGTTTTTCTTGTCGTCTTGTCATCTGGAACTCCACACTATGATCCGAGACCCGTGCTTCAAAGAGTTCAAAATTACCATTGAGGTGTTCGGTAAGATAAATACGTTGTTCACTGGTCCCTCGGAGCCAATGGGTTGATGTACCCTCGAGACCAGTGAACAACTTATAATATTTGCCATGGTGCTTCAGCCTGTTATCTGTATCTATACTAGTATTCATTGATGTTTATAATTTGGAAAATGTATGGAGAACATCCTATACGCTGCATAACACGAAGTGGAAATATGGGTATATATTTAAAAATGTTGATAAAGGTGCTAAACCTAGAATCATTATATGGGAAAATGGGATTCGAAGTCACTGATCTAAGAGAGACAACTCTGCAAAGCGAATTCCAACGTCTCGGGATTGCCCGGATTGAGAGTATTGACCTTCATCCTTGCAAATACCTGTACTTGTGAGCTGGAACCTTTTGTAAAAGAAGCAATTGGATTTAATTTCATATCATGTTTTAAGAATTCTCTATTCTGTATATTACGTGGATTAAAGGGATATGAAACATGCCGGCTTCCAATGGCCTCACAATTCACACTACCCGTCAAGATTCGGGTCAGAATACAAAATATAGGTCACTTCTTTGATTGGCATTTTAGAAGTTGGCAAGTACAATATAGAACAAACTTTATGGATAACAACCTCTTTTTATTCGTGAGTGCGACGTTTCGATACAGATTCTTGTACCGTTGCCAAGCATAATATTAAATTATAGGTCTTCAGCAACCTATACTTATCGTGACTAACGGGTTCGGCTGGTCAGGCTCACTGACTTGGTTGACACATCGTATAATAATAAATCATCTCCTATAGCGCACAGTCTCCAAACACCAAGTGATTGCTCGCGGCGCTTAATCAGAATCCAATTCTTATTACCCCCGATAACCCAAGCTGCCTCTTAGGCGCTAGAAGGTTATAGTCACATGACTTTATCCAACCGGGTACCCATTTTCTGCTGGGTGAACAGAGGCAATTTTGAACAATCTCACTTGCCTGAGGTGAGACCATATGTATCACATGTGCTTCTTTGGGGCAGGACTGAAGTCCTAGAAACTCTCAGGAGTCAAGCTGCCAAATGGCTCGATGCTCATGATGTTAATCACTGGATTGTCTGGTCCAGACTCGATTATTTACAGACCGCCACCATATAGCTTGGATATTGCTGAGTGTGGCGTTAAACAACAATCAATTGCAACCAACACGCACCCCTCTTCAGACAGTTCATAAAAAGGGCGGGGTAGCCTTATGCTGAAAGCGTTCGCTGGTTATGAGGATGGACAAGGTTCGACTCCTCACGACTCTTCCATACATTGTCTAAAATCCATCTAACAGAGTGTCTCGGCAGACTCACCAACGCACCTGCACGTATTGTCCATCTGTCCACACAGGTATGCAAGGTCACCTGTGGTCAGAGACAGTGCGGACATCTGACGAGATGTTCTACATGGTCTTCCCCCGACTGCTGGCCCTAGCCGAGAGGGCGTGGCACAAGTCCTCGTGGGAGAACATCGACGATTCCAAGGAACGAGAATCGGCCAAAAGTATCGACTGGGAGAAATTTGCCAATTCCCTCGGGTACCAAGATTTACTTCTCCTTGACAGGATGGGCATTCCTTACCGCATACCTCCCCCCGGAGGCAGGTGAGTCGCATGGATGTATTCATGTGATAACAATAATAATAACAATACTTATGATACTCCACAGGGAGATGAAACATTGATAGTACACTGATCCACTGTAGCACTATGAACCTCCTCCGTGGTGTAGTGGTTAGAGCGTCCGCGGAAGGTCGCGGGTTCGATCCCCGGCTGCGTCATACCACAAGGCGTTAAAATATGGTACTTGTTGGTCCCTGCCTGGCGCTCGGCATTAATGGGTGCAACAAGGACTGGTTGGCTCGGAGTCAGTATAATGTGTCTGAGTGGGGTATTCATGCTCAACTGCGGCATGGTATCTCAGTGCGCTAGCACTATAAAGCCAGCTGAAGTCTGGGCTAGTACAAGCAGCCACACATACACACGCATGCACATCGTCATATGAGCAACGTTTAACCCCATTTCCCTCACCTCACCTCACCTCACCTCACCTCACCTCACCTGTAGCGCTATGTGCACACCGGCAGAGGGCGCGTTTGGTGCTACAGAAATTTATTATTATCAGTTTGACGATACCCGTTTATTTATTTATCGTTAACAAAAATTGCATATTTCGAAATATATTTTACCAAGCGTTATAAACATTATTTGAGATTTGAATGAAATTGATCGATATACAAGTGAAAAGTTCATATTTTGCGCATAAGATAAAATTGAATTCCGTTCAAATACAAATGGCAATAATGTGAAAAACTTAACGTTGACTGTTTTTAATGTGATACCGACTACTGTGAAATGCAAAAGAGGCTACCCGTGAAGGTCCGGGTTAGAATGAGCCTTCACTAGCCCATGCTTGTCGTAAGAGGCGAAAAACGGGATCGGGTGTTCAGGCTCGCTGACATGGTTGACACATGTCATCGTTTCCCAATTGCGCAGGTCGATGCTCATGCTGTTGATCACTAGATTGTCTGGTCCAGACTCGATTTTTAACAGACCGCCACCATAAAGCTGGAATATTGCTGAGTGCGGCGTAAAACTAGACTCACTCTCTCACTCAGTTTTCAGTTTTCCTCAGATACTTACTCAATAGAATATCATGGCTATATTTATCAAAGATTAAGCATGTATTATGCACATACCCCTCGGAACATTGCCCAGGAACTCTACATTATGTAACGGAATTGTGTTAAAATAGAACAAACTTTGTTCCAGGGTGTTCAAAGATGTGCTGATTGCTTCAAGCCCGTTCCCTGGTCTATCGATTGAGGCGAGTTTTAATGGCGGCAAAACATGGACAGAGGTCACGAGAGATGGGGTCAAGGTCAAAAACGGCCAGACGGTGACACTGACCACCAAGTAAGCTATTACACTCTCTGAGTAGTCCGGGTGGTGCCGTTACTAATGTTTTGAGGGTCCGAAATGATCACGAGAGATGACATATTTCATAATTCAGCGTATTTGGTCGTGACTTTATTTCAGTTATAGCCAAACCACTTGCACGTGGATAAAATACGAGAAAGAAATACAAGTTCTTTTCAAAACAATAAATATATGAAGAAAATGACTTGATACATTCAAAGCGATTGCTACCATATTCCTAATGAGCATAGGATAGCCTTGGTCGAAGGCCCGGGTTCGATTCCCACATGAGTACAAAATGTGAAGACCATTTCTGGTGTTCCTTGCCGTGATATTGCAGGAATATTGCTAAAAGCAGAGTTAACCCCACTCACTCACTCACTAATAACGTGCTAGAAGGGTATGGGATGCGTAAGGAAATGGGACAAATCGAAGTCTATAAAAGTTTTGTTTTGAAGTTTAAAAGATCAGCGACAATTTTCAAACAGCCAATCAACCGATTGTAAACATCCAACCTGTGGTATCAATAGCGATGGAACTCAAATGACAAACAACTGGTAAAAAGCGAACAATAGTCCCGACACCTGCCAATTATCTGTTGCCAACTTTCTTAACCAAACGTAAGGGTCTCTTTGAGCCATGATCTGGCAAGGTCACTAACCTTGAATAGCCTTGAACTTTGGCAATGGCCGTATTCCATGTACGCATTCTCATCAGTGGAATATTTGTTTATCGTCAATCGCAAAGAAAGGGTATTTATCTCACTGAACTGCCAGTTATTTTGTCTGTAAAGTGTTCATATCAAAGTAAATCTTGTTTTTAATTTGTTGCAGATCAGCTGATAACACCAGACGGAGTCGTGCAGTAACAATGAAGGTCACAGGAATAACTGTCGTCGCTGCCGGAGCTCACAAACTGATGACGTCATGCGCAACTTATATTGTCACTCTTTTAGTTTCAATTTTATATACGTATACCAGACACTGACGAAAACGCTACCACCCTAACAGGCCTGGTCACAACGATGTATATATGATAACATCCGAATATACCCTCCGTGATAATCATTTTAATTTTCATTCACGCATATCCCCTCAAAAACATAAACTAAGGGGGGAAAGGTGTTTTTATGATTCTGAAACCAGAAAAGTCTTCTTAAATATGATATGTTCACTTAACCGTCATTCATTCCTTCAGGGTTGTAAAATGTAAGTTTTAAAAGTTAAAAGTTTGTAAAATGTAAGCTTTAAAGGGTAAAACTTTGTAAAATGTATGTAAGACCGAGGTAAGAGATGAATTTGTATCCACATAACATCTGCCATGTTTGAAATGTATAAAATTTGTGCCAAGTTTGTTTTATTGATTTTACGACACACGATATCTAAGATATCTTTAACACTTATGACTTATGTGAACTTGATTTATTTTTTAAAGTTTTAAATCCAATTTTATTTTTAACATAGAAATGTGTAAGAGATTTCTTTGAGTGTTGATTAAGCGCCAGTGAGGTTTATTATTTATATATAATTATTTGGATATAAAACATGGGGTCTACAGATGTTTCGGTTGAAAATCAAACATAGGGTAACATCTGAATTATTCAATTATAGCGTTAAGAAAGGAGAGCATCAATTGTTTGATTGAAAATTTTGCAATAACTTGTTAGTCTTGAAAAGTCGGTTGATGACATCAAACTTGGATTAAGAATTTCAATGGACCAAAAACAACATAGCGATCACAACGTGGGTTAGACATATCTTCATCTTGCATCACTTCTGGTTCCTTGTTCGTTTTTATTTCCGAAATTCAGTTTTTCATACGTAAGTACACCAGTGTAATGTCCGCGTATATGGGATATGCAGTTCTGTCTCAGATAAGACATAGCATGAAATGATGTGGTTTTTATGCAATCGCTCTATATGTATCTATACCCGAATACATTTTGTCACTGTTTAAAGGGGGTGATCCTTGCTCCTCTTAAAGCGGGCGTTCTTCGCACCTAAGACCGGGTTCGATTTACCCCCTAAGTCACTACGTTTGAGGTTTATTCCTGATGTGCGCTGTCCTTTTGTGTATCGATATGAGCAGTGTAAAATTATGCTCTGAGGTGTGTCCGATTTGTCTGAGACGATACGGGGCAGCGGAGTAGCCTAGTGGTTAAAGCGTTCGCTCGTTAAGACGAAGGCCCGGGTTCGATTCCACACATGGGTACAATGTGTGAATCCCATTTTTAGTGTCCAGTGCTATTGCACCGTGCTATTGCAGGATTATTGCTAAAAGCTGCCTAAAAATTACCCATTCACTCACTCTGATGACAAATTCAAATGGCCTGGCGGCTCACATTGCCCCGTCTCTCTTTTGACCTACTGATGACTTAGTCCCGTCATGCTTAGAACCACCAAAGGGAACTAACTGTTCACATGGATATAACAAATATAACGTTTGCTATTGACAACCGCGTGCTGTACAGCATGGGAAAACATTGTCAGTTTGTTATGATGTAAAATTATACAATGGTTTTGAAAAAATACACATAAAGAAAGGACTCTGTTACCACATAACTTACAGTCCAGTACGCGCATTCTCATAAATTTGGCGTATGTGACATCTGTCACGCTACAGGGACAGATGGTTACAAAATATGGAACACGCTATGACACGTTTTTTTCCATTCATGTCTCCTGTTTTCGTCATAGGCTCCGCGTTCTGGTGTCGTTACGCCTTCCTTTGAATGTTTTATAAACGATCCCAAGTGACAATGAAATGTTTTTTATGTCATCTATGTACACAAATGTTTATGTCTTATGTTTATGTTTGTAAACATTGCACGATCTGTCACTGTCAACGTCAGTTGTCCTCTAATTGCCCTGAGGTCAAGGTCGTCGTTTTGTGTTTATGGAAGTGTGTGTATCAAGTTTGTGCTTGAATATGGTAAATCCTGTATCTGTTTTTTTATACTTTTAATGCGAATCTGGTGAAACGAAATTCCACAAATTTTGAAAATGAATTTACACTTACATTACAATATGTCTGTTCTTGTCAAGCACTCTGTGTATCTGTTTCTTTGATTGTAATTTTGTACTGTTCAAAGGGGTGATCCTTGCGCTTAAAGCGTTCATTCTTCGCACTAAAGACCAGGTTTGATTTACCCACATAGGCACTACGTTTGGACGTTATTCTTGATGTCCTGGCATGGTTTTGTAGATCTTTACAAGCGGCGTAAAATTATATTCAGTGGTGTGGCCGATGTGCCAAAGAAGCTACAGTTCTCTGTTGATTTACCTCACTTTATCAACTCTTTGGTGCTCATTTTTTAAAACGTATCCCACCTTATAAAGTACAGCTTACATTTTATTTGTACTTTTTCTCTCTGGACGCCACATTTTAACAGTAAAACAATGTTTCACATTGTTTGAATATAAACCTAAGCCAAATGACAAGGAAAGCTTCTTTATTACACAGAAACAAATTATATCTGTAAAAAGCGTACTTTTTTCTTGAAAAACTCAAAATATGAAAAATAAATATATCAACATGATACCAATGACCTAGAATTCAGAGACGCATTCTTCTTAGAAATGTGTAGAAATTTTGCCGCGTATATCTGCATCGTTTCCACGTTCCCGCTGCAACTGGCCTACATATTGCTTAATCTCTTTCCGCAAATAACATGTGTCTCTCCATCAGTCCGGAAGTTCCGGCATTTCTTCTCACTCATGTCATCCTGGACCTGCGTTGCGATTTTGACTTCAAGAAATGAGGTTTATTGTTTAAAAAATCCAAATTAACCACTCCCCCCCCCAATAAAAAGACAAAAAAAAATAAAAGAAGAAGATACACTAACGCATACACTAACGAACCATTTGATAAATGGGGATGGTGGGTAAAATAATAATGTTTGCAAAACAACAACAAATTTATAGAAATAGTTTCTTAACAACTTTTTATTTTAACGACACATTATGCAATTTTTCTCTAGAATTGGTCCGTTGTTTTTTTAAAGTCCGCGTTAACTTGATTCTTTTATGTCGTTTTCTTTTGTGTTAGATTGCAATCGGTATCATTTTGTCTCAAATGTACTGTAGCCATTATATTGCGGTTTTAAAATCTCGGATAACTCGAAGTATTTAGGTAGGTCCCTAAACATCGACACAACGGAGTTGTGTACTGTCTAAAACTGTGTTGTACAAGTGGTGATTCTAGGGATCTGGGGTACAGGAACACAATAAAAAAAAGCTTACATCAATGTAACGCCGTTCTGGAAGCCCATTTCTGGTGTCTCCCGCCGTGATGTTGCTGGAATATTGCTAAAAGCGGCGTAAAACCAAACTCAGAGTCAGTCAGTCTAGAAATGTGAAGAAAACATTTCACCAGATACTCCATTTCGTTTTGTCTATGTCAAGCACAAATGTTTTTCAGAAAGCGCATATTGGCTACGATTATTGGAAAATATCCACTTGTACAGAAATATACAGCAAGAGATAATAGACCTTTCTCGAGTTCCATGAACTGCTCAAAAGAAGTTAAGAACAAGCTGGTATTGCAACACAAATCCTTCCAATTTTCAGTCCTCCTTAATATGTTTTGAGTAGTATTTACGAATCAGACCGGCCTTTTTGTTATTAAATTTTGAAATTTCAAAACATTTATGGGTGTAATCCAGTGAAACAATGACATTTATTTATTTTCAACAGGATTACAAAGTGCATTAGAACATATGAAACATGCATTCATGACAACTTATTGTGCTTGAGTTTGGAAGCAAACAGTCTGTCAGGAACATAGACCCCTGCAACCTGTCTAGGTATATTGTGTGAGAGTGTGAGCAGTGTTTATGTATAGTTACCTCCTGCACGACATTTCTAAAGGATAAAGGGAGTGTAAGTATTTATGTGAGTGTGTAAAAAGCCATGCTTGTGGTTTTGTCACAATCCCGAACAAAACCAGTTCTATATGTACATGTTTAACAAATTGCTCAATAAACTGTCTGTATTAGATTGTCATCCGTTGTTATTTGATACGTCCATGACTCTTTTATCATTAAACAGGGGATCATGGACTTTCCACTCCCAATAATCTTCAGTAAAACGAGGCGATGGTATCTACATGCATGTATTTTCAACTTTGGAGTGAGTGAGTGAGCTTAGTTTTACGCTGCACTCAGCAATATTCCAACTATATGGCGGCGGTCTGTAAATAATCGAGTCTGGACCAGACAATCCAGTCGTCAACAGCATGAGCATTGATCTGCGCAATTGGGAACCAATGACATGTGTCAACCAAGTCAGCGAGCCTGACCACCCGATCCCGTTAGTCGCCTCTTACGACAAGCATGGGTTACTGAAGATCAATATTCTAAACCGGACCTTCACGGGTCTTCAACTTTGGAATCTTGTCAGTTACAGAATTGTTTTCTTGTCTGTCTTGAGAGCAGCCTGGCACTTTATGTGTATTTGAACCGAAATAAACTATCAGCCAAACCAAAATATTCACCCATGTTTCAGGAGGCTAAAATTAAACAAGCACATATGTTATTCGATGCTGATGTATTTAACATGGAAACCAAATAGGTATATATGCTCATGGAAACAAATAAGGGAACACATGAAAGTACAAGTGTTCCCTTATTTTTTCCCAGAATTTCACCAACAGTGCAATACAAAGCTTGTGAAGAAACATGGAAAAGAATAAAGGAACACTTGTACTTTCATGTGTTCCCTTATTTGTTTCCATGAGTATATATTGTTTTGAAAAGTTTGTAGTGTTTTTGTAGCTGTTTTCAGTCTAGTAACGTTTTTAACTTTAATGTCGAAATGAGATTTCCAGGGTACTGCCTATTGCCCAGGAGGGTATTTTCGATTTTCGATTATATGTGAGGAACATAATTTGTCACTGTTGTATTGTCTCTGAATGCTGCATTGTACTTGGCCTCACTTGAGACTATAGCCATAATTAGAAATATAATGGAAACACATTAAAGACAAGGTGGTGTAAGATTAGCATATATAAACGAGGCACATCGTCATAATTGTTATATTTATGGATGCAACATAAATGTGGTATAATAAGCATGATACTATATTCAATTCTTCAATTAATCAGAACCATGTGTTTAGGATACGAAGAATATGTATGTAGTACATATGAAAATACACACACGCGCACGCACGCGCACACTAACGCATATGTGACATGTTTAAAATGATATTCAACTGGTATAGACATATTTACATGAGTGAGTGAGTGTGTGAGTATGGTTTTACGCCGCTTTTAGCAATATTCCAGAAATATCACGGCCGGGGACCCCAGAAATGGGCTTCACACATTGTACCCATGTGGGGAACATGATTACATGAAGTGATCTATACATTAGAATGACATAACACAACCACATACTAATACTACTAACCCCTCAGTTCCTGATCTTGTCGCTGCCTCCCCCAGTGTAGTGTGTAGTGTCAAAGGTGAACACAAAAGGTTTAAAAGTAGGACACCAATTTAAAACTAGCCAATTATAGATATGCCTGGGGTTCTACTTTGATTGAAGCCACCTCCGTGGTGTAGTGGTCCGCCCGGAGAGAGGAAGGGCGCGTGTTCGATCCCCGGCCGCGTCATACCACAAGACGTTAAAATATGGTACTTGTTGGTCCCTGCCTGGCGCTCGGCATTAATGGGTACACAATGACTGGTCGGCTCGGAGTCAGTGTAATGTGTCTGAGTGGGGTATTCATGCTTAACTGCGGCATGGTATCTCAGTGGGCTAGCACAGTAAATCCAGCTTAAGTCTGGGCTAGTACAAGCAGCCACACATACACACGCATGCACTTCGTCATTAGACTGAAATATTCTCAAGTACGACGTTAAACCCCATTTCACCTCACCTCTACTTTGCTTGATAACCGGTCTACCCTACACTGAAGTGGACTGGCCCAATGGGAATAACTTAACAAAAGGGATGAGATTTAATGATGATACTTAGCTTACTGGTTAAATATCTTATGCAGCCTGAAATGAGACATTTGAATATTGATACATCAGTGAAGATCAACGCTTTATCAATCTGAAATTAATTCAACAAAGAGGTATTAGTTATTGCATTATCTGAAACATCTGTGTTTGTGTGTTATATAATGCCGTAATCTAGCTGTATGGTGACGGTCTGTAAATAATCGAGTTTGGACCAGACAATCTAGTGATCAACAGCACCAGCGACAATCAACGCAATTGGGAACCGATGACATATGTCAACCAAGTCAGCAAGCCTGACCTCCCGATCCCGTTAGTCGCCTCTTACGACAAGCATGGTTGCTGAAGACCCATTCTGACCCTGATCCTCACAGGAAAATGGCACAAACAATAAATAAATAAATGAATGAATGAATGAATGAATGAATGAATGAATGAATGAATGAATGAATGAATGAATGAATGAATGAATGAATGAATAAATGTAATACATGATACAGTTAGAGTTAAAGTTGGTTGATAGACTTCAGTTTCGAGGAAGCCTCGGTGGGTGGGGTGGCTGGGTGGTGCGTGGGGGTGATGTGTGTGTGAGATCGCTGACTCTGAGTGTCGGTTCCAATCTCTGATGGGACTAAACCCAAAACAAAATGACATTGTGTATTCATAAATCAATACATGTTCCAAAGCTACGTTACGATTCCACTCTACGATTGGTACCCAGGAGCGAGTACACAGTATACATGCTTGTTGTAAGGAGCGACCCAGTGGATCTGGAGATGTGGCTCGTGATCATGAGGTGGTTGATGAACACATCACCGTACCCTAGCAACAGAGATCTTTGCTGAACAAATATGAATCACAATTCGAATCCTTACATGGGTGCATTGTGTGGGGTCCATTTCCGGTGTCCCCCGCCGTGATATTGCTGGAATAATCCAGAAAGCAGCGTTAAACGATACACAAAGCGCATGCGTCCAAGTGGGTTTATATTAGAACGTGAACAACCGATAAAATCATAAACTAAGATCATATAAACTTCCCATCAAACGTTTACACTTACTTAAAACACTTAATATATGTTATGTATATATATATATATATATATATATATATATATAAATATATATAGATAGATAGATAGATAGATAGATAGATAGATAGATAGATAGATAGATAGATAGATAGATAGATAGATAGATAGATAGATAGATGGTTACATCGAAGATCGATTTCTCCACTAACTTGGGGGAACCAAATGCAAACCTTATGCAGATGAACTGCACGAGGATCATTCATCAAATTGTCGAAATGTATGTGCAAATATCATGCATGTGAACAGCTGCGTTTTGGTGTAAAGTTTTGTTTGAGAATTCGCCAATTTTTTAGTTTTATCATTTCTTGAACTCATGACAATAATCTGTTCAACTGTGCAAATTTGTTTTACAATACATCAGTTCATTTGTCAACAGTACCTTTCAACAGTATGGAATATTTTGCTACCCCATCGCCCATTCACATTGTGAACTTATAACGGCAAGGCCGTTGCGATGGCGCGCCGCACCGCAAGAGACATATGCAACTCTGATATCTTTCATACACATTTGTCTAGGTCAGGCCAGCGCTTCAGCTGGAGTCATTACTTCTTGACGCACAACTGCCTCGGGCATTACTGACAGACACGTAAAGCGCTTTAAAACACACAGGTGACACAGCCCCCTCTTAAACATTGCTGACGTCTATGTTATCATGACCAAAATAATTTATATAGGTTGATTTACTAGATGATTTTGAAAACAAACAAATATATAGATACAATAATAGTGACAATAATAATAATAATCATCACGACAATTCTAACGATTGTGCTGATAATGCAGATCGATTAATATGGGCGTGGTAGGCGGGGAGCTGTTAAGGTACCAAGCATAATGGGAAATATATACCCCATGTCCCATGCCCAAGAAGTGTGCAGGCAATGAGTGGTGGATCGGCATTCCTCCAGCAACATCAGGATTCTGCGGACTGCTAGTCTGAGGGGTCGTGCCTTCTTCACAGGCAGCACCCGTGAAGATCTGGATGAGAATTGGTCTTCAGGAACCCGTGCTTGTCGTAAAAGGCGACTAACAGGATCGGGTGGTCAGGCTCGCTGACTTGGTCAACACACGTCATCGTACCCCACATACGTATACTCATGCCAATAATGGTTGTCACCCCCTTCAATTTTTTTAATTGGAGAGGGGGGGGTGGGGGTTTGAGGTGTGTGGGGTGGGGGTAGGGGCGGGGAGGGGGTGACAACCATTATTGGCATGAGTATAGATCGATGCTCATGATGTTGATGACTGGACTGTGCGGTCCAGACTCGATTATATACAGACAACACCACCACCCCACCCCCAACCCCGACCCCCACTCCCATCGGTAAATCTACGCTGAGCCCCACTGACCCTCCCAATCCGAACCCCTGCTCAAGATATCCAGGGACCAAAGAAAGTTGAGCCACTAGCCAACGGCTCTCTCCAACAGGTCAACAAACGTCTTATCAGAAATACGGCCGTGTTAGTGGGCCGCTTCTAACATGACAAAGGCTATCGCGCGCTGTGTACACATTTGACCCCTCGGCCGAGACAATGTTGAGAATGACAAAACTCAAATTAAGCTTTCCGTGTCCTCAAAAGATTCAAACGCTTACCAGTTACCTCCCTTTGTGTATTAAGAGAACAAGAAAATAAAATATCGAGATTTTAATAACAGCTTCAAAATATTCTAGCAATATGCTTTCGACGCCATGAAAATATTAATATCCACATTCTGGTCCTAAATATTTAATTAAATGACGACCGGTCTAATGGAGAAAAAATAAAACATTTTAGTGCAGGTAGCGGTTATCGTCCTTTGAGTAACCGTTATTCGAGTTAAGCAAGAGATATGTTTCTGTTGTGAGAGTTCGTGTTGCATTTGGATGTTGGACGAAGCAGTGATGTGGCGAATTCTGTTGCCTCTTCTTCCAGGTAAGCTGATCACGCTGACGATTACATATTATGTATACTGAAATGTCTTTTTGATATATAATCTTAAATCATTTGCATATTGATTTGTTTTTAATTAAAATTAAATTTAAAATTAAAGAAAACACAACATTCCACAGACTGACATCGATAATTAAATTAATGCTAATTGATTAAATTTCGTGTCTGAATTTCGTGTAGTTTTGTTGGAATGCATCGTAAATGAAAATGTCGATATTAAGTTAAGCAACCGGTATCTAGTTTTAGTAATTTAATATTTTATTTGTGGAGCGTTCGTAGATATGTGAAATGGGATAATTACGCGAAACAGCAGAGACACAAAACGTCAGTTTGACATATCTCGGTGGTTATTCAGCTAACCAGGTTTTACTGTGTATGTCTTTTATCACCGTCAATCAACTACTGCCACGGGTTTGACAAGGGAAATTGTGTATGCATATCATTACCCGGGGGCAGAAGGCGTGGAAATTGGGCGTGAGTTACAAAGACGTAAGTGTCTACTTCAAAATTATCAGCATGTATTCGAAATATTGAATTTACTAAGTCAGTCGTAGGGGAAGAGTGAACGAACGTTTCAGTGTTTTCGTCAGTTGCTGGATAACGTGAACGAAATGTTTGGTGCGTTATTGAAAAAGAGAGGCAGAATGAAAGAACTGTTCAGTTCTACGATGAAAAACGAGGTGGAGTGGGCGAACTGTTCTGTGCTTTCGTCAGCTGCTGGAGGTAGAGTGGACGAACTGTTCAGTGCTTTCGTCAGCTGCTGGGGTAGAGTGAACGAACTGTTCAGTGCTTTCGTCAGCTGCTAGGGGTAGAATGAAAGAACTGTTCAGTTCTACGATGAAAAACGAGGTGGAGTGGGCGAACTGTTCTGTGCTTTCGTCAGCTGCTGGAGGTAGAGTGGACGAACTGTTCAGTGCTTTGGTCAAGCGTTGGCGTAAATTGAACCAACTGTTCAGTGCTTTCGTCAGCTGCTGGGGGTAGAGTGAACGAACTGTTCAGTGCTTTCGTCAGCTGCTGGGGGTAGAGTGAACGAACTGTTCAGTGTGTGGTCAGACCCGTGAAGATCCGGATTAGCATCTTCAGTAAACCATGTTTGGTAAGAGGCGACTAACGGGATCGGGTGGTCAGGCCGGTTGACTTGGTTGACACATGTCATCGTATCCCAATTGCGTAGATCGATGCTCATGATGTTGATCACAGGAAAGTCTGGTCCAGACTCGATCATTTACAGATCGTTGATCTAATCAATTGTGAGGTAGAGTGAGCGAACTGTTCAGTATTTTGGTCAAGCGTTGGGATAGAGTGGACGAACTGTTCAGTGCTTTGGTCAGTCTCTGAAGTAAAGTAAATGTACAGTTCAGTGAGTTTTGAATATATCCCGTTGTTGGTGTTGTACCATCGGTTCGGGATCGGGGTGGGGACACTGTGGTGTCAATTGTAACAAGTCAGGGCTACGAACAGATTCGAGTTGATACTCGGTAATGATAGGCTTTTATCCTACCCGATGAATGTCACAATTATTTTTATTAAACAATACTCGATTACTTGTCACAAATCAGTATAACAGCAATGATATAGCTGATGCATCAGTGGATGAAGGATTACATCAAAACTAGTTCTATACCCTCCAACGAATGATGTGTGTTTGAGAAAGGGTCGGTGGGTGGTCGCACACTTTTTAGAAAGGGGGATGGGTGTGGGCACACTTCACTTTGACCCGTTTTCACGGGAATTTCAATGGACATTTAATAAACTTTCAGGACAAAAGGTGTGTGTGTGTGGGTGGAAGGTGGGGGGTGCGCACCTCACCCCCATTGGATCCGCCTATGTGTCTGACGGAGGCGGTTAGATCATACTATCAATTATGAATCCGTGTTTTGTCTCCAAAAATCAATTTAGCACTTCGTATAAGTTTCCCAAATTTTTTGGATGGGCAGGCTTGACCACTTTGTTGTCATCGTACCTCAACGACGTTTTTCAAACACTGGTTCATCTGGTGCAGACTTAATTATTTACAAACTGCTTTGATAAAGATAAGCATAGTGCTAACTGCGGCGTCGAACAACAGCTACCCACCCTGTCAGTGTTAGTGCAAAGTGGAGCGGTAGCCTAGTGGTTAAAACGTTCGCTAGTCACGCCAAAGACACGGGTTTGATTCCCACGTGGGTACAATGTGTGAAGCCCATTTCTTGTGTCCCCGCCGTGATATTGTTGGAATATTGCTAAAAGCGGCGTAAAACCAAACTCACTCACTGAGTGCAAAGCCAAATATTGTTGTGTCATGAATAGCGCAAAAGCGAACGGCTCACGCAAACTGCACTCTACTTGAAGGCCAAAGCACCAGCTTCCAGCGCGTCCGTGTAAATCCCAAGGTTCAGGTATTTCGAGCCACAAAGTACACTCGTTGGAGGACAGTATCTGTACATAACTATACTTCAGGTGACCCAGTGACCAAGCACCTGCAGGTGTGGTGTAACACTTGCTACAGATTTTGAGCGAGACGGGTGGATGAATAAGGTTTGACGCCGCTCTAAACAATATTGATATTTCAGCATTATCACGGCTAGGGTCACTATCAATGGGCTTCACAAGTTGTACAAATGTGAGGATTCGAACTTTGATTTTCGGTGTGGCGAACGAACGGTTTAACCACTAGGCTACCCAGCCTCCCTCTCGAGCGAGAGTGAGTGAGTTGGGTTTCACGCCGCTTTTAGCAATATTCCAGCAATATCACGGCTGGGGACACTATCAATGGGCTTCATAAGCTGTACCAATGTGAGGATTCGAACTCGATGTGACTAGCGAACAATTTAACCACTTGGCTATCCAACCTCCCTCTTGGGCGAGAGGATCATTCGGTGACGTTTTAACGTTCTAATTTGTAAATGTTTAGAAAAAGAGAGCCACAGGTGTACAAATCTTTGGCGTTTTTTGTCCAAAACATAATCACACTTTGGTCCTTTTCTCCTCAACGTTTCTTTGCGCGTGATTTCCCATGTTTTCCCTATGACCCGACACGGCGCAGGTCACGTCTCTATTGTGACAGAGTGAGTGAGTAAAACAATTACACATGTTGCCGTAGACGTGATTCCTGGGCGAGGCCTTTGTGACTTGCATTTTTAGGTGAGGTGAAATTGGGTTTAACGTCGCGCTTGAGAATATGTCGGTCATATGACGACGTGCATGCGTGTGTATGTGTATGTGCGGCTGCTTGTACTAACCCAGACTGAAGCTGGTTTTATAGTGGTAGTCCACTGAGATACCATGCCGCAGTGAAGCATGAATACCCCACTCAGACACATTATACTGACTACGAGCCGATCAGTCATTGCTGTACCCATTAATGCCAGGCAGGGACCAACAAGTACCATGTTTTAACGACTTTTGGTATGGCGCGGTCAGGGCCGAACTTCCGCTCTCCGGGCCGACTCTCGAACCACTACACCACGGAGGCGGTCTGCATTTTTAGGAAGACTTGAAAACAATGTATCGGCAACGGTTGATTGCTGTTGAATGTCACTCTCAGGAACATTCGAGCCTTATCCCAAAGGCCCTTCGAGTCTAGAGCAGACAAAACTAGTGATTAATGTCATGAACACCGATATCTCAAGAAGATAAAGGTTTGATCTGATATGTAGCAGAGAACCGTAGCATAAAAAACGAATTTACCGAATATTGATGTTATTTGTTATATAAATATAAATTTCAAACAGAAAGTTGGTGTCATAAAAAAAGAACTAGGTTAGTCACGCCGAAGACCCGGGTTCGATTCCCACATGTGTACAATGTGTGAAGCCCATTTCTGGTGTCTCCCGCAGTGATATTGTTGGAGTATTGCTAAAAGCTGCATGAAACCTCACTCACTCACTCATAAACAGAAGCTGTGATGACACAGAAACGAAGACATTTCTCACTAACGCATGCCTCTGAAATCGGAAAATATTTGTTCCACATTTCAGTGTTTTCCAGTAGGATTACATAGGATTCTGTTTCAACCTGACCATCAAACGAGCATCACGTGACTCCGTGGTTGTAACACTGGGACACATGGCAGCATGGAGGTTCGAAAGCCAATCTGAACATTGTTTACTGAGAGATTGAGACCAAATAAACACTGTGTGTATAAACAAAGATTCCCACAAACTTAAATTTCGGTTACATGGCGCTGTCGTAAACGTCTATACGAAGAAACTAACCAAAAACAGGAACGGGTCAATCTGTGGTGGAATTCGGAATACCATCAGGTTTAGAGTTACGTCCCTTGAATTTTGTGACGCGTCCAGGGGTTCACATTCAATGCCCCCGCCAAAAAGGTTGATTTGCGCACATCGTCAAAACATTTATCAGCTGTTTCTATCGCTTCAGATGTGTTATTTAAAGTGCGACACGAGATTTTTGAAAATTTCTAAAATCAATGCTTCGATATTTTACATACTTATAATTAACGTATGGTGTTCCTGATTTTTGCAAATCCGCAAAAGGGATTAAAAGCATGCTTTACTCGATATATAACGATTTCTTCCACATACATTTATTTTTTTATATGATCGATGTGTCGATGGTGTAGACAAAACGATGCTTAGTTGTATTGTGCTACTGTCCATATTACCGCATTACAACGTTTGTTGACCCGTGAAGATACGGGTTAATTATAATGGGTCTTCAGCTTGCTTGTCGGAAGAGGCGGCTAACGGGATCGGGTGGTCAGGCTCGCTGACACATGTCATCGTATAACAATTGCGTATATCGATGCTCATGCTGTTGATCACTGGGTTGTCTGGTCCAGACTCGATTATTTACAGACCGCCGCCATATAGCTGCAATATTGCTGTGTGCGGCGTAAAACTAAACTCACTCACCCACTCACTCAACCTCGACATGACAGCGCTTGTTGATCTGTGGAGATCCGGGTTAGAATTGATCTTCAGCAACCCATGCTTGTTGTAAAAGGTGGCTAACGGGATCGGGTGGTCAGACTCGCTGACACATATCATCGTATAACGACTGCGTAGATCGATGCTCATGCTGTCGATCACATGATTGTTTGGTCCAGACACGATTATTTACAGACCGCCGCCATACAGCTGGAGTGTGGCGTTAAACAACAAACAGCCAATGTTTTAGGTATTTGGGGGTTGACATGAGAGGAATAAAGGTATTTCTTTATAACTGTTGCTGGGATCAAACTCGAAGGACGAGGTGAATAAAGACATTTGTGGGCCCTTGAAATGTCAAACGTAAACGTTACGGACAAATGTGAAATATACGTAGGAAAAAAGTCTGACGTGGATGAAAGACCGACAACTAGCATGTGTTTCTCTCCTCACTTTCTTCTTAATTCATATTTTACCGCGTACCACGAAGCGCCCGCAGGACCATTACTGCCTGAGTCTACGTGAGTGAGTGAGCGAGAGAGCTATATTTTAGGTATATCGTGACGAGGCCTTTCCTGGAGATCGTACTGATCACAATTGCTGTCTACAATGCCACCTTAGTTCTCAAAATCCCAGTCCTTTCTTGGTCTTCGTTTTCCTGAACTTTTCTGGTAACTGCGTTCCAAATATTGGTGATCTTCGTAATATCCATGTGGTCCTTCCTGGTAAAGAGCTGGATTGCATCTAACGAGTTCAATTAATTGTACAAGAAGTAACTCGGATACCAAATTTCTTTGCATTTTGCAACTTGTGTGTGCAATTAAAAGCACGTGACATTGGGAAAACTCCATGGGAATCCCTGCTTCCGGCCTCCGTATAGCTGCGTAACTA